TTATAATCATGGTTGTGGTTGTTATAATCATAGTCGTGGTTGTTATAATCATGAATTAAATGGACTATTTATAATCATAGTCGTGGGTTTTTTATAATCATGGTCGTGGTTGTACTATATTCATGGTCGTGCTTGTTATTATAATCATAGTCGTGGTTGTTATTTATAATCATGGTCGTGGTTGTCATAAGCATAGTCGTGATTATTGTTACTCAATAATAGTCGTGGTTGGTATAATCACTGGTCGTGGTTGTTATAATCATGGTCGTGGTTTGTTATAATCTCTTGGTCGTGGTTGTTCTGTAATCTCATGGTCGTGGTTGTTATAATCATGGTCATTGGTTGTTATAATCATAATTCGTGGCTGTTATAATCATGGTCGTGGTTGTTATATTCATGGTCGTGCTTTGTTATTATAATCATAGTCGTGGTTGTATAATCATGGTCCTGGATTTATTTATAATCATGGTCAAAACGTTGTTATATTCATGGTCGTAGTTTGTTATATTCCTTGGTCGTTACTTGTTATTATAATCATAGTCGTGGTTGTTATAATCATGGTCCTGGATTTGTTATAATCGCCGGTCCATTGGTTTAGTTTATAATCATGGTCATTGAATTTGTTATAATCATGGTCGTGGTTGTTATAATCATGGTCGTGGTTGTTATAATCATGGTCGTGGTTGTTATATTCATGGTCGTGCTTGTTGGTATAATCATAGTCGTGGTTGTTATAATCCTTGGTCTGGTTATTTATAATCATGGTCGTGGTTATTTATAATCATGGTCGTGGTTGTTATAATCATGGTCGTGGTTGTTATAATCATGGTCGTGGTTGTTGATGGTACGTGGTTGTTATAGTCTATGGTCCTAGTTGTTATAATCATGGTCCTAGGTTATTTATAATCATGGTCGTGGATTTGTTATATTCATGGTCGTGCTTATTTATTATAATCATGAATTAAGTAGCGTTTGTTATAATCATGTTCGTGGTTATTTTAATCCTAGTCGTGGTTTGTTATAATCCATGGTTGTGGTTGTTATAATCCTTAGTCTATTAGTTGTTATAATCATGGTCGTGGTTATTTATAATCTGATCGTGGATTTACATTTATAATCATGAATAATGATTTATCATAGTCGTGATTATTTATAATCGTGTAGTCGTGGTTCTTATAATCATGATCCTGGTTATTTATAATCATGGTCGTGGATTTGTTATAATCATGGTCGTGGTTTGTTATAATAATCATGGTCGTGGTTGTTATAATCTGTAAGTCGTCGTTTGTTACCATCATGGTCGTGGTTGTTATAGTCATGGTCTGGTTTGATTTATAATCATGGTCCTGGTTGTTATAATCATGGTCGCAGTAGTTTGTTATATTCATGGTCGTACTTGTTATTATAATCATGGTCGTGGTTGTTATAATCATGTTTCGTGGTTGTTATAATCCTAGTCGTGGTTGTTATAATCATGAGTTGTGGTTTGTTATAATCATAGTCGTGGTTGTTATAATCATGGTCGTGGTTGTTATAATCATAGTCGTGGTTGTTGTAATCATGGTCGTGGTTGTTATATTCATGGTCATTGCTTGTTATTATAATCATAGTCGTGGTTGTTATAATGGTGGTTGTCATAAGCATAGTCGTGATTATTTATAATCGTAGTCGTGGTTGTTATATAATCATAGTCGTGGTTGTTATAATAATGGTCGTGGTTAATTTATATTCATGGTCGTGCTTGTTATTATAATCCATAGTCGTGGTTATTTATAATCAGTCGTGATTGTTATAATCAGTCGTGATTGTTATAATCATAGTCGTGGACTGTTATAATCATGGTCGTAGTGGATTTGTTATAGTCATGGTCGTGCTTGTTATTATAATCATAGTCGTGGCTATTTATAATCATGGTCGTGGATTTGTTATAATCATAGTCGTGGTTGTTATAATCATGGTCGTGGTTGTTATAATCATGGTCGTGGTTGTTATAAATTGGTCCTGGATTTGTTACAATCATGGCAATGGTTGTTACTCAATCATGGTCGTGGTTGTTATGTTCATGGTCGTGCTTGTTATTATAATCATTATCGTGGTTGTTATAATCATGGTCCTGGTTGTTATAATCATGGTCCTGGTTGTTATAATCATGGTCGTAGTTGTTATATTCATGGTCGTGCTTACATTATTATAATCATGGTCGTGGTTGTTATAATCATGGTCGTGGTTATAATCATGGTCGTGGTTGTTATAATCATGGTCGTGGTTGTTATAATCATGGTAGTGGTTGTTATAATCATGGTCGTGGTTGTTATAATCATGGTAGTGGTTGTTATTATCATTGTCGTGGTTGTTATAATCATGGTAGTGGTTATAATCATGGTCGTGGTCGTGATACTTACAGTATCTAATATACTATAAGAAGGAATAGAATAAGGTTAGAATAATTAATTAAAGAAATATTCCCCATAAGGAGAGGTTAAAATCATAAAAAAAAAATTATTATGAATCACCGATGATCATTCCGAGATAAATTATATTATGAAGAGAAGTGACCTTGAGTCTGGTTATATTAGTCACCATCTGCTTAAGTCATCACCTGTGTTAAGTCATCATAGTCATCATTTACATTAGTCAGTTTTAGGCCCATCTCACATGACTGACTGACCATCGATGTTCTTTCCGCATGAGGGTGTTAGTTTTTAATGCGTCTTATTATTTACGCTGGTGGATGTAAGACCTCGTACCTTCACTGACGCAGCTATGGTCAATTTGGTGTTATTCTTGTTTATAAATGCCTTCTAATCTGTCTCAAGTCTATCCGTCCTGTCTATTGCCATCCCAACTGTCTGTTCGTCTGCGTGGTGTTTGAATGTAAGCCCGTCTGTACTCTTTGTGTCGTCAAATCTGTCTGTCTTATCCGTTGTTGGTTGGCGTGTGTCTGCCTGTTTGTCTAATGTGAACCAGTCAGTCAGCTGTCTGTCATGTTAGTTGCCATATTGTCTATTTGTGCATGTATGAATCTGTCTATTTTTGTCAACCTCCTGTCTGTTTCACTGTCTATATTCACCTTGTGTCTATTGTAGTCATTTTCTCCATGTATTCCTGTTATTATCTTTTTATCTCTTCTCCTTTTGCATGTACAGTCACCAACAGGAATAAGTATACACTGCAGCTGTAAGGTCGTCTAGTAACGTTGAAACTGCGCATCCAGACGCATGATGAAACTCAGCTCCCCCCCGCCTGTTCTCTCTGACTATTTTCTGTTCCCCCTTCTTTATTCTTCTATTTACTCATCTTCCTTCCTTTACTCATCCAAACAACATAAAAAATGGTAGTCTAAGAAAAAAAGTGGGGGGAGGAGGAGGGAGCAGTGCGATAGCTGCAATCGTGGGCTGACAGAGTACAGCGAATGAGGGTGCGCCAAGTCCGTAGACTTGCATCGTTTTCCAGCGTAAATAAAATGGTTAATTACTGGCTTCCTAAAGAAACCATCGATATGGGACCAGGTTTGTTCCACTCTACGAATTTTTTTGCGATTTTTCCACAAAGTTTGATGAAAAACGTTTGTGTCATTTCGGCTGCCCAGAACACACACACACACACACAAACAGACAGACAGACACACGCCTAGTCCTATAGTATGTTAGATTTTAACACAGCCTGTTTTTCTGTAATTCTGATTTAGGTGGATTATCACACGAAAAGTTTTTGTGGATTGGTTCGTATTGGCGTTTCAACTTACTGGCTTTGTAGTGAGTGAGTGAGTGAGTGACACATTGCAGATAAGGCACAAAGGCTTACTTCCTTTATATGTGAATGCAAAAATTTTCCTCCCAATCTGGCTTCAAATTTCTGTTTTCATCTTCAAACTTTTTCTTCTTACAATTTGATGCCATTTTCCTTCACAAAATTTTCACAGACACACTGCTATCAAATATATTTAACAGTATTTAAAAGTAACTTATTCTTGTGAACTGTAAACACAATTTATGTCCTGAGTGTACCAACTAAATCTACACAATTCAAAGTCGTGTGTTACACTGAGTTAATGTACATGTCATGACGTGAGGCCGGGCCCTGACCTGCCAAGCCCATCCCCCCGGCCCCTCCCTCCGAGGTCCCTCTGCTGACCTTAAATTTACTGACCTGAGATTTGCTTACCTGAAACTTCTTTAATCCCTCTTCCTCCCACCATACCCCCCCCCCCTCAGCACTAATGAACGACACCTGACCCAGATCTAGCATTAAAGTTAAGATTTAATTTCTTAAATATTGGCATTCACCTTGAATATTTAACTTAGGTTTTAATCCTGTGGAGTTTCAGTTTATAAATAGAAGGCTCAAACATTTTTCTTATTTGCCGATACCTTTTATATTATCACGCAAAAAGGAGGTGAGCCAATATATTTTCGCGAGCTGCACAAATGCGGCTCGCAAGCCGCGGTTTGGCCACCCCTGCAATATAACATCGTGTTAAGGAAGTTTACCCCAGGGTACACTTACTTATTCAGTATATCTCACCATATAAATCCACCGACCGATTACGTCTACACATTGTCCTCATAGCTTGAGCGAGAGCGCTCATTGTCTTGGCAGTCGGAAAAACATTGTCTACAACTCGAATTTTCACACAAATCTCTAAAATATGTAATTATTTAACAAAAAGCATAGGATTATTACATTACATCTCTCTCACGCCTATCCCCACCTCAAACCACTCACGCCCACCCCTACCCATCTCTCTCACACCCACGCTCACCGTGTCTCTCACGCCCACCCCATCTCTCTCACGCCAACCTCCACCCCATATCTCTTATGCCTACCCTACCCCATCTCTCTCACGCCCACCCCATCTCTCTCACGGCCACCCCACCCCATATTTCACGCCAAACTAATCTCTCTCACTCACTTCCACCTCATCTTTCTCACGGCCACGCGCACTTTATCCCATTTCCCTTAGGCTACTCTCTCTCTCTCTTTCGTACCTTTATCAACAGGTGAACATCAACGAGCGCTCATACTTCGCCTTCTCCTACTACGAGAGTGACGGGAACACAACAATCTCGTACTGTGATCGTACCATGACGGGCTGGTCCAGGGACACCACCGTCAGGAACTGGTCCTGCTTCAGGGGCCACAAGACCTCCAAGGTGCTAAGAGGGGATAAGAAGAGAGGGAAAATGAGGGATACTACTGTACTTTAATATTCTTGTCTACCTAAACGAGCTATTTTAGATACTTTTGTAACGAAAATGTTTATTTCTTACCTTGAGAGCGGCCCATATCCACCCTAGAAATTATGAGTTACCTATGTTTTTCTTTGTCGTGTTTTTTTTTTTTTTTTTTAACCCAGGCAAATTAAACGTCAACCACCGCCATATTTGATCTGTTGTTAAGTGTAGAGTTGCCAGTAATCAAAATCTCTCCATATTTAATAACATTTTAGTGTGTGAACTATTTAAAATTAGGTAATACAGTACTCTAGAAGGGGAAGGAGGTTAACCATCAAAAAAATAATGTTTTTATAAAAGTTAACTTTTTCCTTGCACCCACCAAAAATATACAAGAAATTGACGAGGATTTTAAATTTTTGTTTGATGATTGTGGCTATTTTTTTTTCCTGGACATTCTTTGTTCCATGTCGATCAGTGACGTGATCTTCAATGTTGACATGACCATTTCATACACACTAACAAGTCCACCTACTAATACATTATATGATTTATTTGATATAAGGTAAACTAATCTATCCTACCTATCCTAGATCAGGTAAATTATATAATGCAACAGTAGCTGACAAGTTCGTATTTGAAACGCTTTTTAGGACAAAATTGCCAGAATAAGGTTTTGATAATTGCAAATCCTCTACACTTTGAGGCTCAAATTAGAGAAAAGTTATCTTCTATATTTGAACGATCTGAAGTTTCTGGCTGTTCGTGTGCATGAAATGTTCCTGTATATGAAAAGTTCCTGGATTAGAAAAGTTCCTGGATTAGAAAAGTTCCTGGATTAGAAAAATTCCCGTATTAGAAAGTTCTTGCATAAGAAAAGTTCCTGCATTAGAAAGTTCCTTTTTCGTATTAGAAAACTTCATTCATTAGAAAAGTTCCTGTATTAGAAAAATTCCTGTGTTAGAAAAGTTCATGCATTAGAACGTTCCTATTTAGTATTAGAAAAGTTCCTGCATTAGAAAGTTACTATTTAGTTTTAGATAAGTTCATTCATTAGAAACTTCCTGTTTAGCATTAGAAAAGATCCTCTATTAGAAAAGTTCTTGCTTAAGAAAAGTTCCTATACTAAAAAAGTTCCCGCATTAGAAAAAATTCCTGCATTAGAAAAGTTCTTGTTTTAGAAAAGTTCCTAATTTTAGAAAAGTTCTTGTATTAGAAAAATTCTTGCCTTAGAAAAGTTCCTGTACTAAAAAGCTCCTGCATTAGAAAAGTTCTTGTTTAAGAAAAGTTCTTGCTTAAGAAAAGTTCCTGCATTAGAAAAGTTCCTTTATTAGAAAACTTCCTGTAATAGAAAAGTTTGTTAGAAAAGTTCCTGCATTATCGAAGTTCCTTTATTAGAAAACTTCCTGTAATAGAAAAATTCCTGTGTTAGAAAAGTTCCTGCATTATAGAAGTTCCTTTATTAGAAAACTTCCTGTAATAGAAAAATTCCTGTGTTAGAAAAGTTCCTGCATTAAAAAAGTTCCTGTATTAGAAAGTTCATATTTAGTATTTGAAAAGTTTTTGTTTTAGAAAAGTTCTTGTATTAGAAAATTTCCTGTATTAGAAAATATTCTTGCATTAGAAGAGTTCTTGATGAGAAGAGTTCTTGTATTAGAAAAGTTCCTGTTTTAGAAAAGTTCTTGTATTAGAAAAGTTCCTGTTTTAGAAAAGTTCTTGTATTAGAAAAGTTCCTGCATTAGAAAAGTTTCTGTATTAGAAAAGTTCCTGTATGTGAAACAGCCTACATGTAAGCAACGAATATATGGCATCGCCGGGAGATAGTACGTCGAAAATTTCAAATCCTCGTCATTTTAAATTGATATTTTTGCAGAAAGAAACAAGTTATTTCCTGTACGAAAACGTTTTAAAGTTGCTAGTTAACTTCAAGGGTATTAACGAATTTTTGTTACCCAAATTCAATTTTATTTGTTTGACATATTGTAATCCATACAATTGTATCATGCAAAAAAAAAAAAAAGATTGTTAAGTAGATCTGTAAGAGCTGTTTTTACTCGTATGGTTTTTGCTGTACTGGGACGTATATATATATATATATATATATATATATATATATATATATATATATATATATATATATATATATATATATATATATATATATATGCAAGTAAATCACTGCAGTTGCACGATCC